GATTATCCCCACCCCGTAGCTTAGGGGGGGTAAGAAAGGCAAAGGCAGTGAAGTATACTTCAGCTAGAGGTTAATAGCTCATTTAATACGTTAGCATATGTACTACAGCAGTGCTGCAGGAATAACTTTAGCCAGTGGTAGAAAATGTTCTGGTTTGTTATTTTCTTCTTATTTGGCCCTTTTGTAGCTGCTCTTTATAATATTTTTGTTTGCACTGCCTTTGTACCAGTCGTATACCTACCGACTGGCCAAAGCAGGGGCCGTGGTTTTTTTGAACTGCTCTCTTACGACCTTAACTCTGTCCCTGCAGGAATAGAGGTGGTCTTTAGAGAGTAGGTCCGTGGTCTTGTCTTTCACGGATTTACTTCACCTGTATTCTAAGCAAAGACTGGAAGAGCTACCAGCTTTCCCACAGACGTTTGCCGGTTTGTGGTAGCTTTCTGCTGTACTATCTGCAGTCTTTTTCATTATCCGTTTTTTAAGAAAATGGCCCGGCACCTTTGACTTCTTTAAACGATGCTCTTCCCTCACGCCTCACTTGTTTCAAAACCACCAAATGTATTTTTGCTAATTAATCCTTTGCTTACAGAGATGATGTACTTGTCTGCCTTAGAAAGCCATTGCCCTATTCTAAGGCAGTATAGATGGGTTAGGCTTTAACCTAAATTTTTGCCAATTTTTCAATTGGCTCGTGCCACGCCCCTTAGAAAACATAGCTGAACCAGGTTTATCAGAATCCCATCACAATTTTTGAGTTTTCCTCCTGTATCTTATTTTTGTCTTTTATCAGACAAACTCTTCCATGCCATAAGGCAAAGCGTAGTCCTCGCGCTCTGAACGCGTGACGATATTTTAAAGGGAAAGACTAAGACAGCCGTGATGCGCGTAGCTCGTGATGCCGAAGAAATGGCACGTTTTGGTTCGGTCCCACCGGCTCATCGCGCTGTGAGAGAGCGTACAGATCCCCGGCCGGCTTTAACCGAAGCTGAAGTAGTTATTTAGGAAGCTCTTACCTCACAGCAAATGAAAAGTATAACAGCATTAAATTGCCACTGACATCAAACAGCATAATTCTTCTAGAATTCCATATAAGCAAAGTTTGCTATTGGATTAAAAAAAAAAAAAAAAATTAATAATCCCATTAAAATGGTGATTGTAAGGGACAGTGACGGTTACCTGGCAGATGGGAACTGGCCAGAGGCCTCTTCCGTAAATGCCTCGTGCGGTCGCTTGTTGTCCTTCTGTAGTTTGTAATGTGTATTTAAGTGGAAAAAAAAACCTGGAGGTTTGGAGGAGCGTGTGTTACGTGCAGTCCATCAAATTTATCGTGAATATTTGGTAATTTTCTTACCACTTCAATAAGTGCCAACTATCTCCGCCAGGTGTTGTCTGCAGTAGCAGGACCTTGTTCCTACCAATATCCATTTCAGCCTCAGTTCATCTTCAGTGCCCTCTCTATTTCTTCCTTGGCGCTAAGGAAAAGCGCCGGCATTTGACTTGATTCACGTGGCCACCGAGTCATGGCTGCGCTTTGCTTCTTGCTGCCTGCCAGTCTCCTTCCCATTTCCTCCTTGTTGTGTTCCAGTTCTTCCCTGTCTCCTTTCTCTTCCTTCCTCCCAAGCCAAAGCCCTGCTTCCCAGACAATGTATTTATAGGCTGAAATACTTTTGGTCTATATTTGTCCTCTGTCTCCCTTGCACCCACACGCGTACCTCCACGGAAAGTATGAAATGCAAAGACAAAAAAGATCCCCAGAAGCAATCAGTAGGTGGTTTGTGTAAAATCACAGCGGCTACTGAGATTTTCAGTTAATCTTTGATACCCGATGTTACTGAATATTTCATGCTGCCTTCTTCTTGACCATCTTTTCCTTGTAACGCTCGCTCTCGTTCTCAACGGAGTAAGGGCTGAGAACAAGGTGGGGGCTTGCACGCAGGATAAATCGTTTCTGGAACTCCAGCTTCTCAATTACGCTCCACCTCTTGTCTTGTGCTCTTGGGCACTTTCTGCCCATGAAATTGCCTATCAGATCGCTAAGTAGGAGGAAATCTGGTTTCCTGACACGTGTGTAATTATCAGCGTGTTACAGAAAGGGAAGAGTAGCGTAGTCGCTTTCAAATACAGTTTTGCGTGGCACTTGTAATTTTGTAGAAAAAATGAGAAATGAGTTGGAAGGCAGATGATGGGCAACGTCTTTCTGTTCCTGAGGGTCCGCATCGTGAACTGCAAAGTCTTTCCACAAGTGCTGGAAGAACCGGTGCTAGTGCTGGAGTTGGATGGTGATTGATTTGAGCCAGCGATGCTGCCTTAATCTCCTTTACTTAACTTTGCTGGCTTGCGGATATGTTTTATATTTATATATATGTATTTATTCCATGGACAGGTCAGCAGACACGGCTCTCCTAGGTGTTAGTACTGCCCAGAGAAACTTTGCTGGAACCATATTCTGTAATATCAGGTGGCTCTTATCAGAGAGCTTCGTGAAAACGTGTGTTCCACTGCAAATTCATTTGGGAATTAAAACCAGGCAAAAGAGCAACTTGGCAATACAGTTCGATTTCTCCCTTCTGGGGTTGATGTTGAATTGTACCTTGTAATGTAGTACAACATCAAAGATATGTTTGAAGTGCAACATTTTGATTGACCCAAACCAATTCTTTTTTAAATGTCTGTTAGCAAAAATTGCCGTTCTCGCTCAGACTGAAATCCAATCTCAAAATCTCAAAGATTTGCAGAGAGAAATGTGTCGTTCGCATTCCTTTCACTCATACCGTGGAAGGCACGAGCAGGTGCCAGCGAGGCAGGTCACCACCCAACTAAATGGAGCTGTCGCACACCATTCGTTTAAAACGACACAAAACACCTTAATAAGCCTCTGGGCTTGGATCGCAGTGTCTCGTGTAATAGAATATATTCAGATATTCGCTGCTGTTTGCTGGTCCCTGTCAGAGCATGCAGAACGTGAAAGTTAACTGTGGCCTTCCCATGGTAAAACTGCGAAGAGCAGCGACGGATGGCAGTGGAAAAGGGAAAATATTGCCAGTCGTCTCCAGCCAAGTGAAAGTAAAATCACCTGTCTGTGTGGTTTTTCTCTCTCCTGCCTGTGGAATCTACTGCAGCTTCGTAGATGTTTTCATCCCTTATGTTAAGTTATCCAACAACACGACCACATGACTATGTAGCAGCTCATCAAGGATTTCTACCTCGTTTCCACTGCCTGATTTAATAGTCTGTAATTTCCTGGTCTCCGATCGGAATGTGTGACCGGGTGATGTAATCAAATCCCTGAGTTTAGCTATACATGTATGAGATGTAGCAGGCAAAACTTGGGGTTTCCTCACTGCGTGAAGTCTGCCTATTCTGGATTTCTCTTGGCCAGCCTTTTCCAACACTGCGTCGTTATTTCTTACTCGACCATCCTACCCCTTGGCTTGTGCTGACAACGCCATGCAACGTCCACGGTTTGGTCTACGGTCGTTAAACATAGGACAACGGAGCCATTGCTGACCTGCAGGCAAAACATCTCTTCGTTAAAATTCTTTGTTCTTTCTGCAATCTTTGTGAAAAATAAGGCAATTCAGGCTTGAAATATTCTTACCCATCGTGCTATCTGGTAGTCAAGAACTACCCACAAAAAGCCTTGCTAGACCTTTATATCCTCTTTTTTCTCCATCACCTCTTCCCTCGCTGTTTTCTTTTTGGTGCTTTTTATCTGAATATATTAGGTTTGCACTCACTAAAAGCGGTGGTGGAGCATCAAAGAAATGGTCTTCCAAATTGATTTTCTGAGGTTTAATAAGGAGTTGAATGTAAGTTAAATCCCTGCAAATGTACTGGTAAAATCTGCCTCCCTTACCCGTTTAGCATTAAACTCACAAAAATCTGTGTTAGACAGCAGTGGTTGGACTTCATGGATATAAGGCTGAACTTTACCAGGTGATGAATACACAGTGCAAATATACAAACCTCTGCTCCTCAAAAAACAGGTTTTTAAAAGTACAAGTCAGGTTTCAAAGTCAAGTCAGATTTTCCACCTTGATAAAGGCTTTCAAACTTTGCCCTCCTAGAGTAACTGGTTTTAGTAATAACCGTACCACTCTGCAGGAATGTGTTTAGTCCGCGCTGTTTTGGCGTAACTCTTATCAACATTAACAGATACTGGACTGTGGGCTTATTGCTGGGCTGGTAGATAGAGGAGAAATTGTTTCACATACTTTTGCCTTTGAGGCGGATGCAAACACTGCTTGCGTTTGGATAGTCTTCCCAGAAATACATATCCTGCTTGTTGCTTTTGATGTGTCATTCTGCTGTTGCTATTTAGCATTTATTATCATTAGTAGATGTACTGTAGTATCGCCGGGTGATCTAATCGAGGTTTAGTGTCATCTAGACGCGTTAAATGTTTTTCAAGCGAAGGATAGGCACGATCACAGAAGTCAGGGCTGAAAGACGCTGTGCTGTGATCAGACGCGTGTGGATGATGCGTTACGTGTCACCCGCGGGCTTCGCACCAGGCAATCTTGATTATAGGCTTAGGACCTCAATTCCTCTTTACTTACATGGCCGAAGCCAAGCGTTACAAAGACTCCTGAAAATCAGCATTAGACACGTGAAAGGTGAAGGCCCGGCGTGAATATGAAACGTTAGGGCATTGCTTGTAAAACAGTTGTTCGAAGTGAAGAAGTTGGGGGTTGGGTTTGTTTTGCTTTTTAAACAGCAGGTCCTTCAGAGAAGGAAAGACAATTAGAAGCGTGATAGGAAAGGGAATTGTTCTTGATGTGTGTTTAATTTCCTCATGAACACAGGAGTACACTGAAGCCAAAAATCTGTAAGAGCAGCAATGTAACGTCACGTCCTTCGGTCATAGGGAAGGAAGAGAAATGGCGGTTGCGCCAGCTGAGGAATGACAATACCTTTGTCGCGGCTGATCTGACGGCCTTTCAGCTGTCACCTTCCCCATTGCCTTCCGTTTTAAGAGCTGTATTTGTATCTCTCCCTAGCTCGTAAGCAGGAGATTATCAAGGTTACTGAGCAGTTGATTGAAGCCATCAACAACGGGGACTTCGAAGCTTACACGTAAGTGTTCTCATTCAGGAGGGAGCGAGGCCAGTTGGTGTGTTTGACGCTGTATATGTAAATATGCGTATTTATATATGTGTGTGTGTGTTTGTACTTACGTATTGTTGAAGTTCATTCTCAGATGCCCCTAAGAAACACAAGAGATACTCATCACTGCTTTGCCCCGGCTTTAGGTGAGCCTGGTTGCCAGTTTTGAAGGAGTTGCTGGTGTAAATCCAATGTCCTCCTCTACCGAGACAGGACTGCAATCCTGATGCAAAATATGCAGTGATCTATCTTGGTGTATGTAAGTAAAGTCATGTTTGTGATTCAGAATCCAGAAAACACAGTGGAAACTTCTTTTAGCTGAAATTTTTTATTGTACGTAGAGATTGATACTAGCTAGAATCCCATGTGTGCTTGGGAACGTGAAAGACCGAGTGGAATTCGGGTTCCACCAGCCTCTACTGAGCACTGTGCAAGAATTTGCAGGGGGCAAGTGGACCGATTGCTCTCTCAGCTTTTCTCTGCAAAGATACGATCCCATCACTGCTTCTCTTCTCTTCCTCCCTCAAAAAAAAAAAAAAAAAAAAATTTAAAAAGTAGAGGAAAGCCCTTCTCAGCATTTCTTTTGGTCTCCTGTGTTTCTCTGGGTGGATTCTGTCCTGTTGCAGCACAAGCCTCACCATTCACCGGCGACATTGCTCGTCCTGTTGAAAGGCTTGCCAGCGCTAAACTTTAGTTTGGTATGATCATGTTAAAACCTTAGTGGTACAAATGTCGAGTGGAAACGTATTCCAAATTCTTATCTAAATTTTGTCGTTTAAGAAAACAAAATTAACTCTTGCTTAAATAATGATGAGAGGCATAAAAAAATATCCTTTGGATTGCACAGAAGCAGTTTTCAGAGTCACAAGTAGAAATTCCTACTTGTAGTACCATTGGCTTTGCACGGCCTTCTTTGGCAGTCCTTTTTTTTTTTTTTTTGGGCAAAAGATGATTTATATGAAGTCCAGTCCACCTGAAGTAAGCTGCCAAATTGCCTAGTTTAGGCGAAACCCGAACTCTATTACTTCTCACCATTTAAGTTCTGTTCTTTTCCTGTGCGATGGCACAGGTAAGTAACATGTCCGACAGAAATAAAGGAAACATTTAAAAAGTGCTCTCCCCAAAGTTGCGTTACAGAACTGCATGCATTTATTACAGAATTTCCTTTTTTCCTCAGAAAAATCTGTGATCCAGGCCTTACGTCTTTTGAACCTGAAGCTTTGGGTAATCTAGTAGAAGGGATGGACTTTCACCGGTTTTACTTCGAAAATGGTAAACAATCCTTTTTCATCTCTGAATCTTCATCAGTTCCTTGTGACTGTGTTTCTCCGGTCTAATTAGCATTTTGGTTTGGGAGTTAATTGATTTGGGCAGGGGAATTTGTGGTTTTCTGTCCGTTTCTGCTACGCTCATTCACACATCGTAGGGCACCTTGGATAGCGGAGGAAAGTTTCGGGTATTTGGAAAGAGAAAAGTCAAGACACGTGAAAGAAAAACCAACCAAACCACGGATAAGTAGTTCTCGTACGTTTGTTTCCGTTGGGGAAAAGAGAAAATCATGCCGTGAGTGACAAAGATCGCTAAAACAGTCGTTACAGTGATTGCCACTAACGGTCGGCACGGCCAGGGAGTACGTGATGTTCTGGGGGAGACGTTGTAGTCACTTGGTCGATACTGCCGAGGATCTGATCAGCTGTCTCTTGTATTGGGGGGAAGGGGGTATATATATTAAAATCTACATATAGATATAATATATATATGTATATAACAACCATGTCAGCTATAAGAAAGAAAAACTACCCATGGAGTGGATTTAAGAAAGTTTTGGAGGACCATGTAATGTAGGTAACTGTTTTAGAGCAGACTTGACTCAAAAGGAAATACAATGTTGTAAATGAAGATATTGTTTTATCCAGTAATTTCTGAGAAATGGCTGAGCATAAAAAGGGGATTATCCTAGTCCTAAATTCTCTCCCATCTCCAAAACAGCCTTTGCCGTATTTTTCTTTTAACGTGTTCCATTTTGTTACCGCTGCTTTTTAGTTTTTGTAGATAGCAGCACTTAGTAAAATATGCCACAAGTGTTAAAAGCTGAGTTATTTTAACTGAAAATATTAAGTACAAATGTCATTAGGCATCAGACGCGGCAGTGAAACTGAAGTATTGGGAAAACTCAGATGGGAAACTCAAGATGGTGGCCCCCACTTGACTTAATCCATGTATGTACATGGATTAAATAATATGTACTATTAAACGTTTGATTGGTTTCCGTCTAGGATAAGGGAAAACGTGCTTTATGCTGTGACTGTGCTCATTTCTAGAGTGTACTCGGGGTAGTTGTCAATCGTGATTATCAGTAAATAATAATTATTACCTTGTACCTGCTCAGCTTGAGGGGGTTTGTTTTGTAAAATGGAGCGAGAGGAGTTATTTTGGCTTACACAGAGAAAAATCAATTTCTCCTCTCTGTTTTTTCCCTAGCTTTATCCAAAAGTAACAAGCCAATCCACACCATTATCCTCAATCCTCACGTCCACCTTGTGGGGGACGACGCCGCTTGCATCGCGTACATCCGGCTCACACAGTACATGGATGGAAGTGGGATGCCAAAGACTATGCAGTCCGAGGAAACGCGGGTCTGGCACCGCCGTGACGGGAAGTGGCAGAACGTTCATTTTCACCGTTCAGGGTCACCGACAGTACCTATCAAGTAAGAAACAATTCAGACCACAAACTTAGAATCTGTGTACGGTCAAACCAGATAGTCTCATAGCTGCTTTTGGCCTTAAAAACTACAAAACCATACTCTTGAGCGTGCAATTTCTTGCAGTCGTTTATGCAGATATATTTGGTAGTGTCTCTATAGTATCAGCACAAATCTTTTTAAAGCAATGCTTTTTTTTTTTTTGGTGGTGTTTTCAACTGCGATGCCCGCTGATCCAACTCAGCCCCTGAACTGACAGCCTGAAGAGCAGAAAAATGTTTTAATGTAGATAAGGCTCGATGATACAAGTCGCGCAAAATAGGATTGGGAAACCTGAAATGGAATTTCAGGAAAACCTGAAAAAATAAAAAGCAAATAGGGTACATGGAGCTGTTGGAGCCGACCGGAAAGTTTCAGGGAAAAAAAAGTATCACTGTTCTGAAAGACTGACGTTTGGGTAATATTTGTTGTGATTTCTAGCCACCTCAACTTACTCAGGCCTAGGTACGTTCACTGCAAGTTGGTTTTGAGCCAGCTTACATCTTTGCTTTGCAAATTCAGTCATACAAGCACCTATCACGTTCTCCTCTCTTTTCCCACGCTCTCTTTGCTTACCTGCTGAATAGTCAGCCTCTGATAGTTCTGACATCCGGGTGGGTGAGCCTTGCATCCCTCCCATCACCATCTTTCTCTTTCCAGGCACCTCTGCCTGCCCTCTCGTACCCACGGAGTCACGCCGTGACTCGACGCACGCAAACCTTGAATTCCTTGAGCCAGATTTCCGGCAGGGTAAATCACAGCGCGCTCATAGTTGCAAGAACAAGATAAAAAGTCATGGCTTCTTCACACAGTTCTGCTCAAAGTCCTTCGCTTTTCTTTCGCTCGCAGCCTTCGCTAATGCTGCTGTGTCCTTCAGAGCCCAGCCTCGCTGACCCTGGCTTAGGTTAGGCTGTTCCCAAATTAGGCGGCACTGGTATAGGCCTTGGTTTGCTCAGGTCCAAGCCCTCTAAATCGGATATAATTACATTGGTGCGAGGTGTCTTAGTGTGGATAGTGGCCGAATTTCCCGGCGTGGACGGTAAGAGCTCAGATTTCATCCTTCGAACTTCATCATGTCATGGATTTTACTTCTTGCAGCACTATTCCCCCCCCCCATGAACTAATACTTGATAAAGTAAGCAACATGGTAGAGTGAAGTGTTAAACTTGAGTGGAGATTAATATTTTTTTTTATTTATGAAAAAAGTCATTTACCTAGTGATAACTATAGTAATTTTATTTAAAAATGTGAAACCAGCAGGAGCAAGAACCACGTCATCCTTTGTTTTTCACATTTCGGCTGCGCTGCCGGTGTTTAAACAGATAATATTGAAAGAGTAGTTACCTTTTCTTGAAATTTGGTGTTAGGTAGATTCTTGTTTTCATAAAGGAGTGTTTTGTCAAGGGATCTGACCTGGGTATGTGTAGAGCCAGAAAGTTTGGGGGAAACTGGTTCACCTGTCCCAGTGCACCCTGGACAGTGTGTATAGCAGAATGGCATGAATTGGGCTACAGAATCTTTCCCTTTGGGGTTCCCCCCCACCACCCCATTTTTTTGAGAAGGGTTGGAGGGGAAGGGTGATGTAAATTTTTTTTTCTTTTAATGTAACCATATTTATAGGAAACAATTCTAAAGAGAAAAGGTAGTTTTTGACACTCATACACCAAAACCAGAAGGCAACGAAATAGCCATCTTACTACTACTTCTGTGGAAGATCATAGAAATTTGCCCAATAATCTGGTAATAATTCTTTTAGTAATACTTTATAGAGATACACTGAATAGCTGCTGCATGCTGTGGCATGTGCTGCTCCTACCAACGCTCGCCAGAGGTAGTTTCTCTGGAATACAAAGGGCTGCCACAGAGCAGCTCCTGGCCCTTCGGACTGCACGTCTCAAGGGAATGCCATTGTACGTACGTATCCTTGATTATTCTTCATAGAATCATAGAATCGGTTAGGTTGGAAAAGACCTTTAAGATCGCCAAGTCCATTCGGCATTGTTCTCCTACACCGGGGATAGGTATGCAGACATGAGCTGGTTTATACGAAGGCCGATTAGATCGCTTCCCACCTTCTGTTTTTGTAGGGTACATAAACAGCCAACTTGGTTGGCTTTTATCCATAGGATCTCCCTTCTCCTGGCTACCTTGACAGCCCTTCACTGTCTTTTTTTGGTTTGAGGTTTGTCTTTTCATTAGCTTGGGCATATTCTCTGAAATACTGTCTACAGTTGTCTTCCCGATGTCTTTCTTTTCCCTGTTGAGAATGCCACACCTGCTACGTTCTGGCATGATTTTTGCACTTTTGTCTTCTACATCACATCGGCAGATCGTCGACAGCCATGTATTTATCCTCAGCTGCCGTTGCCAGCCAATGAGTCTATGGAAACTTCTGCTGAGCCTGCAGCTTTCTGCATCCTGTTAGTACATGTAACACTTCTGGATTACCCAAGGGTTGTTTGGTTCTTCTTGCACAATACTCCTGTTTTCCTTTGTATTTATAGTTCCTTCCACCTAAGTGTAGGTATTCTACATGAGATCAGTCCTACTGCTTAGGCTCAGGCCGTTGGCAAAGACTAGCGAGTCTCCCCTAGGCTGATAGCTCCCCTTTCAGCCCAAGCATTGTCATTTTTCTTTAGTTATTTTACGTATTCTTTCCTTAATCCTCATCTTCTCGAGTTTAAGTGGTAGATTCCCATGTAGCACCATGCCAGAACTCGCCTTCTATAACCCATCCTGACCATCTTTTAGGCTGCCTTGAACTTCACCTTTACTTTTCCCAGTCCTCAGTACCAATAAGGCCATTTTGGAAAACTACAGAAGAAATTTAATTAAAATATTGTTCTAGATTATCCTTCCTTTCTTTTCTTGTATTTGAAACTTATACCCTCTACAGCTGTTCAGTTATTGCCAATACCCAGTTGTTGATAATGGCACTTCCATAATAAAAAAGTATGTTACACATAATGGCTGAAGAAGAATTTCAATTCTAATAAATGTGCAAAAGTAATTATAGCCGTGATCTCCTTTTGCAAACGTCATGTCCTAGATTATGTCAAATCAGTTGCTGCGAGCACAATAGTTTATTTGTTTTCAGGACTACAGTAAGGAGCATGCGTAAATCTAAGGACAGAACTGAGCTCTCTGGTAGCTATAGGTGTATGGAAACGTTTCCTTACGGCAGATAATTAATTTGGAAAAGAATACAAACGTGTATTTAGTTTATAAAAAAAAATTATGGGTAGTTTTTGCTGTGAGGCAGACAAGACAAACTTTGGTTTCTGTCTCGTCCCGTTGTTTCTCTCCGAGTGACACAACTGACAGTAGGAAATTTTTCTCTGCGTTCCGCGTTTGTAAGAACTCGGGCTAATGTTTTTCTGCAGAACTGTGTCTGCGTATACACAGAGAGCGGACTCGCATGGTAGGGGCAGTCAAAGGGCTGTTGGACCCAAAACTGACTCCCAACCCTAAATTCAGACCTGAGGCTCCCCAGGCTTATATTCCCTCACTTACCCCACCGTACACCTTTCATAAGTTAAATACCAAACCGCAGGAAGACTTCAGTAAAGAGTTTGTTCTGTGTTTGTACAGCGCCTAGCACAGCGGGACCCCAATCGCCACTTCGGCCCCTAGACGCTACGGTAATACAAATGCTGTTCCAAGCTGAGTTAGTTAACTGCTTGCTTGCCACCTTCCTTTTCTTTCGCTTTCTCTTTGCGTACGGCTCTGGCATGTCTTGCACGTAAATGACATCGGATTCCTCCTCATCACTTGGTTCAATTTGCATCCGAGGCCCGCGGCCCGCGGCGGTGTCCGTGGCGCACGTGCTGAGGAAGGAAGTTAAGCTCAGAGGTTCACGTCTGAATTCCGCCCTCCCTCCTTTAAGAAATCGGTCCAGGCACGTTGCCTTCCCGCCTCAGTTTCCTTTTTTATTTTAACAGCCTCTCTGGCATGTCGTAAAGATGGAAAACTTCTGTAAAGCGGGTTGAAAAATAAAAGTATGCTTTGCCTGAGCGTTTGGGGGGGTTTCCCCTTGGTTTTCTTTGCAGTATTGCATTAAATGATCTTGGGAAGTTTATTTTTTTTTTTTAATTGCATTGGCTAACACTTGAGCACGTATTGTTATCCTGTGGTGATGGTACTTCAGTAATGGCAAATCTGTTGTGTTTTGTTTTTTTTTTTTTCTCCTTCCTCCTAGCTAAAAATATCAGCGGTGCCGCTCTTGCATTTTCCGTACCCAACGCACCTGGTTGATTGATCACCATCTCGGCCATCCCGTTCTCTTCATGCATGTTTCTGAGTGCATGAAGTTGTGAAGGTTCTTCATGTAACACATTTGTGATGCGCCACGTTGCTGTATATTCCATCTGTACACTGTTAACATTTCAAGGAAGGTGATGTTCCATGCAAATAGAGAATAACAAGGCATAAAAGACAAAAAAAATATATATATTTGATGGACAGCAGTAGACACAGGATACATTTGTCACTTCCTCCATTTACGCCAAGTTTTAACAGACAACTTTAAAAACTAGCCTGTTTATTAAAAAAAAAAAAGAAAAAAAAAAAAGAAAAAGTACATTTTACCCTCTTTTTTTAAGAACTGGTTTTTGACTCCTCCTTTTTCCCCTGGGATTTTGCTTTGGTTCTGGTAGGAAGGGTTAGGATTTCCGCTGGCAGCTCCGTTACCGTAAAACAGATTTTTATTACAGCATGTAGATGGACAAAATCACTGATAAATGTGGAAGTGATAATATCTTGGCTTTGTACCAGCTGAAGCCTTCTTAGTTTATTAGTCTCTGTAAACTGGAAAAAAAATCTCATCGTTCGCTAGCTTGGCCACTTCAGAATTAACCGTCAGCGTTCTGGTGAGCCAGCAGCTGCTTTAATTTCTTTTGAGTCTTGACCTTTGCTTTCTTGCTATGCTAACTGAAAATTTCTCTTGGATGATTAAGCAAAATTAAAAATTGTAAGGAACTAAGTGACCAATGAGGGGCGGTTTTTGAGGATTAGAAAAGGGAAGAACAGAGAAAGGTGGAGCTTTATCACTGGTAGGGTGCACCGTAAATTTTTTAAGGAGGCTTTAAAAAAAGATAAAATTTGGATTAAGCTGTAGACCAGCTGTGTGCTTAACGTACTGGAGAAATATTAGGCCTTAAAAGCTTAGTATGAAGAGTTTACTTTACACTGCTGCTGTTGCTTCCCTGGAAATGTATTACGGATACAACGGTTTTCTCCCAAGGCCCTAAAGCTTTACCACAGATTTGTTTCTTCCCCCTCCATCTGCGCTTGGTTTCCTAAAATCCTCACGCCACGCACGGTCCCCAGGACGACGATCCTTGCAGCGTTACCAACTCGCTCCGGCCCCCGACGCGTCGCTGCCAACGCCTGCACGGAGCGCCCTCGGTGTCAGTTCAGCACACCGACTTTGGAACGGGGAATGGTTTTGCTGTGAAAACACATCCTGGCAAGCCTTTAGCTTTATTCCCTTCCATTTTGAATAGAAAAATACAGGGATCGGTCACTTGGGGGTTCCCTCCCCCCCCCCCCCCCGTTTTTTAACCCCCCCTCGTTTGTTAATCGTTCCGTTTCCGACAGGGCTCTCTGTTCTCTGCAGCGCTGTACAGTGCATGATATCTCAATCCGTGTCCTTTTTAGCGGTCAAAAATTGACAACTCGCCAGCCTGACGTTTTTAAAATGGGAAAGCTTCCTAATTTGTCTCATTTCACCTTTCTGTGTTGATTACTAATCAAAAGCAGTTCTTAAACATGTTGGTGTTGTTACTAGTGGATGTATGGTAGATGGATTTAAGCTTCTCTGATAATTACTACATGATTTTAAACAATATATATTTAAAATAAGCATCTACAATAAATGTGTTGAGCCATATTAACCTGCCAATGGGATCTGTGAAAAAGTCATGGCCTCATTTTTTTTTTTTCTCCTTGATTACTTTTCTTTTTTTTTTTTTTTGTGAAGCGGCTATAAGTGGCATAACTGTATTTAAAATTAACAAATTAGGTGTAGGGTGGTTTTTTTTTTTTTTTCTTTTTTATACTTCTAACATAGCATGTGGTGTTGACGTTATTACTGTAGACCAAGTTTGTCTTCCACACCAAGACGTGAGGAAATTGTGATTTGTTCTCTCCACCACAACTGAATTATATACACTTTGGTCATTTTGGAACACTGCAGTTTACCATGGGACACAGTGTACATATTTCTTGCCATAATGGTAAATGATTGATATATTTAAGGATTAATAAATTTGTGATTTCTGCTGACATGGTGCTTGCGTTTTAATTTCCCAATCTGTTCTGATTTTTTGGCGTTGGAAAAGGCGCAGAGGCTGTTTGAATTAATAAGGCAGAGGCGGTTTCTTACAAGCCAAATTTGCAATTTGAAGAGACGTGCGTTGGCTTTCGTGGTTGGTCTTATAGTTAGTTCTCAGTCCCCTTTCCCAAGGACCCAACTGTACACCCTTTATGCTGGACTTTCGCGATAGATTTTGTACATACCTGATGTTGATAGGTCCGTATTTAGAAATGTTTCAGGTAGTTTGCACACTTCTGTAGCTGCCTCACTGTGTTTCACGTGCTCAGCCTGTAACACAAGACACTGCAAGAGCACTTACTTTATATTTATATATTTTTAAAAATATTTTTTTCATTATCTTTATATTGCAAACCATAAAATGCATTGAAGCCCATATATAATTAGCATTTGAAATATTAATATATTTTTAAGAATATTTTTAACTATATTTATATTGCAAACCATAAAATGCATCAAAGCCCATAAATAATTAGCATTTGAAATAGTTATATATTTTTTACAAATATATATTTAACTATATTTATATTGCAAACCATAAAATGCATCAAAGCCCATAAATAATTAGCATTTGAAATAGTTATATATTTTTTACAAATATATATTTAACTATATTTATATTGCAAACCATAAAATGCATCAAAGCCCATAAATAATTAGCATTTGAAATAGTTATATATTTTTTACAAATATATATTTAACTATATTTATATTGCAAACCATAAAATGCATCAAAGCCCATAAATAATTAGCATTTGAAATAGTTATATATTTTTTACAAATATATATTTAACTATATTTATATTGCAAACCATAAAATGCATCAAAGCCCATAAATAATTATCATTTGAAATACTGCACCAGGTTACAAGCTTTCGTGTATGTCTGTAGTAGTGATTTTAGGCTCTCTTACCCTACGCCGAGCCACAAGTGAGAACCGTCCCTTCACACCGGCAGAAAAGGAGGAGGGAGGAGAGGAGACAACTTCCAGCTTCCAGGGGTCCCGGCAGGCGGAGCCGGATGGTGTCCCTGGTTCTGCGAGCCAGGCGCTGGCGCGGCAGCGGTCCCCGAGTGCCGCCTGGCGAAGGATCCAGAGCCCATGATGGGGCTTGTGAAAAATCACAGCGCTGCTTTTCGGGCGGCCTCGCGCTACCCAGCTGGAAACAAAAAGAAAAATAGGTAGGAGAAGCGCTCAGAGGTTTGGAATGTTTGGGGAAACCCCAGAGGAAGCAGAAGCGGTTTAGGCTCTTGGGAGGTTTTATGTTGTGTCATATCGCTCCTACCTACTCCGCTTACTCATTTTTTTTCCGCTGAACGCTATTCCAGAAATCAGTTTGCCTTCCATTTTAACGGCGTGCCTGCAAGAAGCTGTTGGGCAGCGAGGGAATCACTACTACTTTCAGGTATGCGGAGAAGAGGCGAGGTCAGGGTATCAAACATAACGACAAGGAAGGGGCTGGGGAAAAATCCATTTGCTAAATATCAGGGTGAAGATTTAGGAGAGAGGACGGGCGAGGGGGGGTTGCTTGGGGTTTTTTTGGTGGTGTTTTGGATTTATTTTTTTTTTAATCGCTGTGGATGTCTTTTTATAGCACAAATGTTTTCATATGCTGCCTCCTGCTGGCTTTTTGTAACGGTGCCTTTCTGTTTAGGAGCACACAAGATGATGCTGTTTGTTCTGAGCAGGAAGGAGCCCCCTGCTTCCACGCATTCACTTTTTTCATGTGAGTAAGGAACACAGAATATTTCAGAGGGTGAAAATGCCTACGTGCTGGGTCTTGAGCATACGCTATCCACATACCTGGAGGAATCGCATTGATTCCATATGCTAAAAATGGGCTCCCAGGAGACAATTAAGAAAACAAACATCTGCCTCCTAGAGTTGTATCTTAAATCCAGGATTCCTCGTGTCAAAGATGAACAAAAATGGGCTCCCAGGAGACAATTAAGAAAACATCTGCCTCCTAGAGTTGTATATTAAATCCAGGATTCCTCGTATCAAAGATGAAATTCCCTGTTTCTTTGGTGTGCTACTGATCCTTTGCCCTCCTTGGTACCAGCTCCTTGGACTCTGTGCTCACAGAAATCAGAATTAATTCATTCTGCTCAGGCCCCTTCTTTAAGTTTGTACAGTCATACTCCACACATGGCTCCTGTTAGGAAAGGGCCACTAGTCAAAAAGTTAACTGCATTAGCTGGAGAGTTGATCCAAACTGCTTCAGGAGCTTTCTTCCCAATAAATTCTTGGTAAAATACAGAGAGCTGGGGGGGAAATGGTTTAAAAATTGAGTGCTGCAAGGTCCAGCTGCAAAATGTCTGGTTCCTGCAGGGAGAGCCACTGGAGCAGAGTCCTGTACAGGAGGAGGGGGAGGTTTTGAACCCCTCGAGAGGGGAGGCTTACCTAACCTGAGGACTACCCGTGCCTCACATGAAAGGAATCCTACATAAAGCAGACGGGAAGCTTTTCCTCTCTTCTCCTCCCTCCCTTGTGCACATACCCGTGGCCGAGCAGAAGAGGGTGCAGGATCTGCTTCCAAGACAGCGTGCGTGTGAAAGGAGGGGAAGGCAGCGATCCTGCGTGCGGGTATGGTGCGGAACGGCCGCGTGAGGCTGCCTTGCTTCCCACGTGTTCTTGGCCAGGCTGAGCCCAGGCGAAAGTGGTGCCCAGGCTTTGCAGTGGTGCCCAGCGCCAGGACAAGGGGCAATGGGCACAAACTGAAGCACAAGAGGTTTCAGTTGAATATGAGGAAGAACTTCTCCACTCTGAGGGTGACGGAGTACTGGAACAGGCTGCCCAGGGGGGCTGTGGAGTCTCCTTCTCTGGAGATATTCAAAGCCCACCTGGATGAAGTCCTGTGTACCATGCTCTAGGAGAACCTGCTTGAGCAGGGGGGTTGGGCTGGGTGATCTCCCGAGGTCCCTCCCAACCCTTGTGATTCTGTGAAAGGCACCACAGGCAGTAAGGCTGGGGGAGAGGAGAACATTTAATCACAGGGTGTAAGGGGAGGAGAATCCATGCAAAAAAAAAAAAAAAAAAAAAAAAGCCGATAGAAAACAGGGTTTACAAGGTGTAGATGGGAGAGCAGTATGTCTCTATTTACAGAAATGTCTCATTCCTTCTGTAAAGACATTGCCAGAACCCAGAAGGGGGGCTGGAACATCTTGGGAATTAACTGCAAATTTGGCCCATGTAACCTTTTTCATCATAATGATCTCTAATTAGTTAACAAAGATATATCGCTGAATGTAGCAAGTGGTTGGGACAATGTTGCTTCCCTTAAAATAGCAAGGGCTGAGCCTGCATAGCCACAGAATGTCCTCTGAAAAGCTGCATTAAGTTGCAGTGTAGAATTTATCTTGACACAACTCACGACAGCGACGGGCCTAGGTCTTACGGTGACTCACTTCTGCCTTACCCTGAACTCAGCCCGCAGCGGAAAGACGTGGCCTCACGTCAGCAGCGCGCATCACCGCGTTCCCTGCTCGCCCTCGGGTCCTTCCCCATGATCCTCACAAGCTGGCACAGGAGGAGAAGGGAGCAAAGCTTACAAGCAAACAGCCCACTGCTGTCATGGATGGAGTCAGAGGAAGGCAAAAGTAATAGGGTTTATTGGTGTAAAACAGTGAGTTAGCAAAGCTCAGTGATAAATGCGAAATAGTTTGTAGGATTCGATGGCAAGGGACACTTAGTTATTTACTGCACAGAGGACAGGGTCAGACAAAACTGTCAGGGAGACCCTCCCATTGAGTCCTGAGGTTCAGCAAAGATCCTCCTGCTTTCTAAACTCCCTCAGAGAGGAGCCTGGGTGCAGCTGGATCCAATCCTAGTCCCAGATTTGGTCAACAGTTTATGTCTAAAGGATTATATATGCGCAATCAATCCTTTATGTCACTTAGCTAAGATTTCCAAGTTAGCATGCTGTTAGTCACTTACCGAGAGTCTGTTCCCGTAAGGAATCTCTCAGCCTCGAGGAGTAACCTTGAGAGGCATCCCTGCTCCTGGGGAGATCCTGGCGTGCAGCCGCTGCCATGCAGGAGAGCTCCAAGGGCTCTGGGGCTGCTCGCTATTGATGGGGATAAGGTAATTGGTTCATGGTCACGTTTGCATACTGACCACTGCGCTCAGGTGGGCACATTCCACAATAGCCCTTGGCTATGGTATTGTTATCAGTCTCCCCCCACATCCAGTGGGTGCATCCTTCAGGACCAGACACATCCATCACGGCCACCACGTGGTTATCACTTGAATGAGGTCAAGGGAGGGGGAGTCAGGGACAAGGGGGGAGCCCACCGCCACAACTGCATTGAGAGGGAGTTCAGGCAAATGAACCCACCCTGAGCTGGGAAGGAGGAGACTGCTCCACTCTTCTCACCACTCCTTTTCCCACCCTTCTCAGGCATTCAGTGTCAGCTCTCTGGGAAGGCAGCTGCCCAGGACCGAGGCGCTGGCAGCCGCAGAGTAGCACGTGTAGTCAGGGGACCGGGCTAGCAAGCAATCAGCCTGCTGGTAGAGGTAAGAGCCCACATTCACGTGCCTGACAGCTCATTTTATAAGCAGAGCTATTGCTGAACACAGGTGCCCAAACAGAAGTCAAACCCTTAGGATGAGGAAGAGAGTAACTTCCCAAGCATGC